AACCCTAAGACCCCAAACCCTAAACCCAAAAACCCTAGACCCTAAACCCCTAAAACCCCTAAAACCCCAAACCCTAAACCCTAAAACCCCCAAAACCCCAAACCCCTAAAACCCCTAAAACCCCGAAAACCCTAAAACCCTAAACCCTAAATCTACCCCAAAACCCTAAAAAAAACAGCTTTTTTGGCAGCCCAAGAGACGGCCCCGCAGAGGCCCTCGCGGCGTTCGCCAAGCAGCGACCCATGTCTCTCCGAACCGGCACGGCTGCAGAGAAGGGTTTCAGGGTTTAGGGGTTTAGGGTTTCGGGGTTTAGGGCTTCAGGGTTTAGGGTTTTAGGGTTTAGGGTTTCAGGGTTTCAGGGTTTAGGGTTTAGCTTCGGGTTTCAGGGTTTAGGGTTTAGGGTTGAGGGCTGCAGAGACACACCCCGCTTGAGAGCTTAAGTTTCGGGTTAAGGGTTTATGGGTTTCAGGGTTTAGGGTTTAAGGTTGGCTGCAGAGAAGGTTTCAGGGTTTCGGGTTTAGTTTAGGGTTTAGGGTTCAGGGTTTCGGGTTTAGTTAAGGGTTTTAGAGTTTAGGGTTTCGGGTTTAGTTTAGGGTTTAGAGTTTAGGGTTTCGGGTTTAGTTTAGGGTTTAGGGTTTCGGGTTTCGGGTTTAGTTTAGGAGACACACCCCATTTAAGAGCTTTCGGGGTTTCGGATTAACGGTTTAGGGTTTAAGGTTGAGGGTTTAGGAGTTTCAATTAGGGGTTTAGGGTTTGGGCGTTGGGGTTTGGGGCACGCGGCTTGTTCGGCAAGCCCTCCATCTTGCGGCTTCATTCGGCCCGATAGCTCGGGAAGAAGATGATGCTGACAAAGGAGGACGCGGGGGAAACATCTGAAGGGCAATCAACAATAGGTTTCAGGTTTTTGCAGAAACATGGGGGAATCTACCAGAGACCCTAGAGCGCAACACATCCGTCTTAATCGGACCCCTTGAAGCGGATCCCGATTTTTTCTGAAACTCGCATTTTACTGGGGTATTGCAGATCGACAAGAACTTACACTGCTCTCCTGAGGCTCGCTCTGTGTGGAAGGATACAAACGGTAACATGTTTCGGGTCAACTATCATTTCTGTTGTAAATCTCAGAAGCTATCCCCTCGGCCCTCTCTGAAGACTCTGCGCAAGCAAGTGATGAGTCGACTCTGAAACCAAACTCGTTGCTCACGAGCGCAAAAGACGGAACTGCTAAGGAAAATTGAACACCGAGGGGTAAAGCAGCTTGCAGAGCGACCTGTATGAAACCCACAACAGAACAAATCCCTAAACGGTTTAGGGCATAGGGTTCAAACACGAATCTGAGCTCCCTGCGCAAGGCCGCGCGAGAGGCGCAGGTCCCTGACAGGACGTCTTTCCCGAGCTCGTGGCTTCCACGAATCAAGATTACGAGCTAAGCCAGAGGTACAAGTAGCATGTCTGGGTTTCGGATTTAGGGCTGTATAGCAGGGAGTTAGGACTTCAGTGTATTGAAGTCTGGATTTTGGTTCACTGTCTTTGAGTTTTACGGGCGTGCCAAGCAAAGCTGAGCTCGAAGGGGCTGGAACTCGACAGGCGATGCCCTGAACACCAAACATCACCATACCCTTAATCGCAGGAGCCCAGAAACAATGGTGCAGTTAGGGTTTAGGGCTTAGGGTGCTCAAACCCTAACTCGCATCTAACCCCGAAGATTGATGTCCAACAAGCATATAAATCTGTAAAGTCTCATCACCAAGAGCAAGCGGCCTGAGCGTGTACCGGTCGGGAAGAGATTCCATCACCTCTTCGGGTGTCAAGGGCACTAGAACCGGTGGGTTCGTGGCTTTGGGTTTAAAGTTGGTTCTTATCCACTGTAAACTGCAGCCTTGCTTGACCGATCGTGGCATCCAGGATTCAACGTCGGGGACTGCACAAATTCAAAGCCTCCAACTCTGGGAAGCCACCAGGTAGCCTAAAGTTTCAACCCCTGCACGTCAGACCCAACATGTCTGAAGGAGAACTGCACAATCGAGCCACCACGAAGACCGTCTCAAAATCAAGTGCTTCATCATCATGTGCTTGCGTCGCGGTGATGTTCCAGACTTCATGAAGAACGGCTTCTGCTTATCGGCAAAACTGCAGAACCTTTATAGAGAACTCGAGGACCTTCAGTGGAAGTAAGTTTTCGCTGACCAGCACCGGGATGCATTGGCCCTTCGGCTCTGGTGAAAACTCTAGGCCTGGCCGCCCATGCACAAAGCGAGTTCCTCAAGGAGCCTCTTGCCCCTCTTGGGCAGAGAAGCTCCGCCCTGAATGGTAGGGCCCAATGGGATGACGCCGATGATGCAACCCAGAGACTCCAATATCCCTTCATTAAGGAATATACCTATAAATTATAGTAGGACCCTGATAAAATGATTTAAGGCATAATATATTCCTTAATTAAGGGATATAGTGGAGTCTCTGGGAATGGGGATCTCCGGGGCTCGCGCCTGCTGAAGGACGGCATTGAACTTCTGCCCCGCGAAGACGCGGCGAAGAGGCCCGAAAAGCTCATCCAAGGCCGTCCTGCAAAAAACGGGAGGGGGGCATTTTGAACTCTCCAGGCTCGCAGAGGGGTTTAGGGGTTTAGGGTTTAGGGGTTCAGAGGTTTAGGGGTTTAGGGTCTGTGCTGCCGCTCCGAAGACAACGCCTTTCAGCTTAAGAGAAGACGGCATATCGAGGCACGCGCCAACCTCTTCGGATTCCCCAAAAAGCGCGTGCCTGCCTGCATGCTAACCTTCCCTCGACACTCTCTGTTGCTCGTTCTCCCTGGTTTGATACGCCCCAAAGACCACTCGGTAGCTCACATGCTCCGAGTCCTAGTCACAAAACTCCTCCTGAACCTTCACCCCACAAGGAGGGACTCCCTCAAGCAGCTGACGTACACCCTGGAACCGAAATCCCACGAAACCCCTCCGGAATCCGGAAATTTTGAAATAAAAACCTGATTTTTGGCTCAAAGCCGGGTCCTCTCCATCGTCGGCTCAATCTCTCTCAGAGGCTGCAAGATGAAACCCACAATGGGAATCTGCAGGGCCTGGCGCTGGAAGGGTTTAGGGTTTATAGGGTTCATAGGGTTCATAGGGTTTATAGGCTTTAGGGTTGGAGACTTTAGGATCTATTTTTTCGGGGTTTTTGGAAAGGAGATCTCAGAGCTTTCATGGCTTTCAACCGCGTTCTCACACGCGCATGGTGCTTCGGCTTCTTACCCACTAGGGATGTAGGAATGCATAGCCTGTCCTAGTCCTACTATAACACAAAGACCCCGTCTCTGCGAGGATCCTAGTTCCTAGCATGTGTACCTCCGGAAGAGGTCATACTCGGATAGGCAAGTCTCTTGTGCTGTCGATCCGTGGCAAGTCTGGAAACTCTGAGAAAGAAGGAAAGCACCCTGCCTCTGAAATGATCATGGCGACGTGGATCATCAGGAAGCCAAAGACGATGAATGTCGGTCTCTCCTGGATAAACGCCGATCGCAGCAGAATGAACTCAGCTCTTCCACTGCTCGCGTATGGGGTTTCACAGCACGGTTTGATGTGGCGGTCCCCTAACTCTCATTCCTGCAGCAAGATGTGACGGACTAACTCCTGAGCCCCGAGGCCGGAATATAACTGCCAGCAGATGTGGACAGAAGTGGTGCTGGGCTTTTAAAGTGGCTTAATGTTGCGTCGCCCGCCGAAGCGATGCGAATTGCCGTACAACCTAGAGACATGTCACATGTTTATCTCTTATCATATGAATCCCCGGCAAGGCCTCCCATGCCCAGTGGAAGAAGCATCCTTCTGAGCTGAAGAACTCTACCTGCAACGCTGGGTGCAAACAGCGAAGTAGCTAGAGGCAGTTGATACTCGTAAGCTATATGGTGGCAGAGAGCAAGCTTGACATGCCTGAAGCAGGGCTGTAAACCCTAACTTTTTGCAGCATATCATAAACTGTGCTTGCGGTGTGGCGGTGCATCTTCAAGTCCGCCAGACCTTGACTGCAAACGTAAAGCCCAGGACATCCGAAGACCAGGGCTGGTCGTCCAAAAACCCGGCATCTCATTTCAATAACACTCTTTCCAGTCCCACAGGCTTCGAAGCTCTAACACCCCAAAACTGCCTCCAAGGCTGCAGCATTTAGCATAGGTATACTAGGCAGAACTCCAACATCGCCAAGCCCGGCAAGAAATCTTTGGAACTTCGAAGCTGTATGTGAACCCAGCCTCAGAGCGAGAAAAGACGAGGGCCTGCAAAGCCAGAGAATCCTGCCCAAGACCTGGGTTTCGGGTTTGGGGGTTTAGGGTTTAGGGGTTTAGGGTTTATGGTTTAGGGTTTAGGGGGTTAGGGTTTATGGTTTGGGGGTTCAGGGGTTTGGGGTTTAGGGGCTGCAAGGTCAAGGGGGTGTGCCTCGGAGGCTAACGACTTCTCCTCGAAAAACCCCGTATAAACATAAAGCTTGAAGAATCCTACACCCTAAGATATGTACATGTGTACACACACATATATATATATACATATATATATATACATATATATATATATGTGTATATATATATATATATCTATATCTGTGTGTGTGTGTGTATACGTGTATATATATATATGTAAGGTATCCTCACACCCTCAACCCTGAAACCCTCAAACTTCTGGGTCTCCCACTGAGAACAAATCGCGCCATATCTCCGGAGACTCGGCGCGAGGTGTCCCCGCCGCAGGGCCGGAACCGGAGCCGGCCCTGGTAGGGCAAAGGAAGCTCCTCCGGCCAGGTGCCGAACTCTCGAAGTGCCATGGCTAGGGTGTATTTGGAGGTTCATGGGTAGTTATAAGTAGGGTTATGCGTAGGGTAACTATAGTTATAACAAATATTCGGGGACAGGGTTTAGGGTTTACTTGGAGGTTCATGGGAAGTTATAAGTGGAGTTATAAGTCCCCGAATATAGGTAAAAACTATAGTTGCCCTACTTATAACTACCCATGAACCTCCAAGTAGGGTTTAGGGTGATGATGATAGAGAGAAGAGTTCAGGACGGTAGGACGGTTCAGCTGGAAGTCGCAAGGCTTAGGATGGCATGCGTGGAGCACCACTCAGGCAAGACGGCTGTGGATCCATCGTTTAGCACATTCGTACTTTTCTGCTCAGCCAGCACACAAGAAGTGATTCATCGTACAAAGCATGCTGAAAGAACAGCATCATGTTGTGATTGTGTTTACTGGACTACAATTACAATCTCCCCCAAAAGTCCTCGGCAGCAGACTTCACAAAGTTCTTCCACAGCAGCTCAGTGACAAGAACCACGTCGCAGTTGTGATACAGGATCAGTCCTGCTTGCAGATGAGAGCTTGTACACACAAACTGAACTTATATGCAGTTTGCATGGTCGTTCCAAATGGCATCGAGGCCCGCAGGGGTCACTTCATGTCGTCACAGAGGTGTAGGGTACACATCCCCTCCGGACGCGCGATACTTTCATCGATGAGATGCCCCTCCTTTAAAAGGATGCAAACAGAAGCCCTAGAGAATCCTTACGAATATAGTATATCATAGTATAAGATAGTATGTGACAGTATATTATAGTATGTTAGTGTAGTATATTATGTCTAAGATCGTCTATGATAGTATTTTATAGTATGTTCTTGTAGTATATTATAGCATATAAAACCCTGACAGATCCCTCGAAGGAGCCCTAACCGCCCTAACCTGTTCCCAAGATGCTTCATCTAGGACACACGAAGACCGAGCTCCGGGCTGCTTGAAACGGGGAACGGCGTGACGGCGTGCACAAGTCGCACGCAGATTTTCAGCGACGATTATACTCCCGAGTATACCCCGAAGGTTTACAGCCATGATATAGCCCTACAGTAGACGGTAAAGCCACAAAAAAAAACACCCCAAGCCTAGTTACCTCAACCCCAAGAGTTTGCGGAAGAATGGTCCTTCATAGTTTATAGGTGCTGGGCCGACCTCTTCTCTGCAGAGCCCCGGGGGTCCTCGCGCCAACGCCACAAACGGCTGAACGTCGCCTCGTGTCCCGCGCGTCATCAGCATGACCTCCCGGAGTGCCTAATCATGATAATTTAGGGGCCTTATACTTTGAGTAGAACATCCAAGAATTCTAAACTCGAAGCGCAGATGTGTCCTTACTTTTGGGGTGAGAGTTGTTCCTGATTACCGAATACATGTACGTTTTTGTACTCTGACTCTTGCTATTCAGGGTTTCCATGACAATGGGTATCTCAAAACTTCAACGTGAACCTCGAACATGGAAACCACTCCCCCACCCCCTGTGAAATGGTCCTATTGACAAAAGCCCTTGGCCTTAAACTCTTCTGGTCTCCTGGGATCTTGTTAAGGGGGTGAAATTAAGCTTCCATAGTAAGGAAACCATATTATGTACTATACATCCCTATTATGGCAACTTTCATTAAATCTCCTAACATGAACCCAGTTAAGGGGGTGCAATTAAGCTTCCATAGTAAGGAAACCATATTATTTACTATACATCCCTATTAAATCTCTTAACAAGAACCCAGTGTCTTGTCGTTAAGGGCGCCTTGGGTCGACCGGAATTGGTCAACAAAGATCCGATGGAGGACCTCGTATCCTCCTGGCTGGTGAGAAGTTGTACTGACAGGGCTTAGGAGTTGGGGTTCCATCTACGGCTAGAGGTGAAGGTGGGGCGAGATTGATTTACGTTGTGGCCCCCTTCCGGCCCGTCCGTGAATTTCAGATTGAAGAACAGGGGCCATAGTCCAGAGTAGCCTTGGGCTTCTGTGCCGGCTTCGGAGCTTCTCGACTTTCGGAAGCTTTGGGCTTGAGATACCTCGGGACCTCGAGGTTTCAGAGGGCTGGCAGGGGCTCCTGCCGCGGGGGCTCCGGTCGTGACGGGCGCTCGAGCATCGGCACCGCCAGGTTCTCCTGCGATTGGCCGTGCTCATATCAGGACCCAAGCAGCCAGGCTGTATCTTTATCTTGGGTTCATGTATTACATGTGGATGTGCTTCATTACATATGTCTAATTTGGATCTGTTTTCGGCCTCTTGCTGACAGCTCGTCTTCCTATTCTGTCGATGATGTTCTTTGTGGTGGCGATGGTACTAAAAGGCCTTAGCAGTTTGAATAAGGTCTTGGCACCTTTCTTCAGAGCCCAATCGTACCTGTGAGAAGCCCGTAGCTCTCAGGGACAACGGGTCTTTTGGGCAACCTGAGTGCTGGCTCTACTCGCCCGTGCGGTTGGACGCACGATTACTGTAGCTTGGCCTAGGCCTGGTTGTCCCCAACCATGAAGATTATTCTGATGATGATACTGGTCAACAACATCATCATCATCATCATCAGGATGCTAATGGCGACGATGACGCAGCAAGACGCAGACGTGCAACGTAGCAACACTTCACTGCACAGGACAGTGCAGCCTCTCGCGGTGTTGACCCGTTGTGGACACCCCTGTTTCCATGGGCCGCACCCACAGATGCTCAATTGAGCCTCGCAAGTGAAAGCTTCAACCCCAAGCTCCCCACTCCCCACCCTAAACCGTAAACTCTAAATCCCAACACTCTTTCGACTCCACTCATGAACATTAAACCCGAATCCCCAAAGATCAAACTCCCGATACTCCTGATTAAACCCCATGCCTCTAGGGGGGGTTTGGAGGCGACGGAAGATGCCAGCGAGACCATTGCGGTGGAGCGGTCCTTGGTGTCAAGACAGAAAATTTGATTGTAATAGTCCCAATGTAATTATACTATAAAGTAATAGTCCCTATAGTGACTATACTACAACAAAGTACACCAGTACACCAGAGCCTCTTTTGCGAGAGCTTTTTGAGTTGAGGGTTTAGGCCAACTTCGACTTGGGTTTCAAGACGCGCGGGACTATGCCACGGACGCCCGACATTGGGACTCCGACACCAGTCTTTGGGAAACAGAGGGCCCAATATGGTCAGGGCTTCTTCGGTGCAAGACTGAGGAATCGGGAGCAAGCATCAAGGTTAATTAGAGTCCACTCGAAACGCTATACCTTAAGCCTAAACCTTCCACCCTACATAAAACCATAAGACCTAAGAGCCCTAGATACCCTTAATAAGCCCTCCACCTTCCACCCTAAAGCCGTAAGACCTAAGAGTCCTATGCCCTTAATCCTACAAATCTTCCACCCTGAAACCGTGAGACCTGAGAGTCCTATGCTTCAGACCAAGGAGGTCAGCTTTTCGCGACGTGCATGGGGAAATTCCGCGATACCAGAACCGGTTTAAGGTTTAGGGTTCAGGGTTTAGGATATTTCTTGAAGCCCCAGATAGTTTTTGGGATCCCTGCAAAGATACCTTGGGAAAGGACGTCGCATTTTCGGAAACTGGGTGAGAATGCTCAAGGATGTTCAAAGTCTTCGTGCTGCAGCGGTCATGGTCGTACCTCAACCTACATACGACCCCCCAAAAGCCCGAAACGCCCAAACACAAAATCCTAAACCCCCAAAACCTAAATATCAAGCCTAAAGCCCCCAAAGCCCAAAGCCTTATAAACCCTCCTAAATATCAAGCCTAACACCCTGAAGCCCAAAGCCTTGTAAACCCTAAAGCCCCCACAACCCCAAATCCTAAACCCTAAACCCTAAAGGCCCTAAAGGCCCTAAAACCCCACAACCCAAAATCCTGACTCAGCCGCGCGGGGGGCCTCGGCTGAAAGCATCGTCGTGGCCGTGGAGAGCCGGCATTTCGAGAGAGCGGTGTCTGCCTATGGCCGAAGAGTCATGCGACTCTCGGGCTGAAGGTCTAGGATTTAGGCTTCAGAGCTTAGGGGGTTTAGGGGTTTAGGGCTTAAGGTTTAGGGCTTAGGGTTTAGGGTTAGGGGGTTTAGGGGGGTTAGGGGGGTTAGGGGGGTTAGGGTTTAAGCTTTAGGGCTTAGGGCTTCTTCAACATCGGAGCTTCAAAACTATTCTTCCTGCTTTGGAGAAAAGCCGCTGCTATGTTATGAAAGGTTGTCAGGATGAGCCCTTCATGCTGGATTCGAAAAGGTTCTGATGAGGGTTTCGTCTTGTGGATTTGTGTTCTTCGCGTTGAAGAATCGTGTTAATTAATTGCTTGTTTATAGAGTTTCGTCCCAAAGATTCCAAGTCCCCTTAAGTAAGTGAAAGGGCCGTACAATCATGTAAATCATCTTAACAGTGCCCCGCCCCCATATAGCTTGATGGAAACCTGTTGACGATTTTGGAAGGTCTGGTATCCGAATTGAAGGTCTTGAAAATCTTTGCATGATGGGGCTTTGGGCTGTAAGTGTAGTTTTGGGGGGGTCTGTGAGGTAGGTGATGTGGCTCACAGGAACGGTAGTGCTTCTGCTATGGTTCTCCCAGGCCCGGAGCCCGAAACCTCTCATCACTTTAGGCATCTGGGTGTGTAGTTTTAAGTCGGCCACCACAAAGTACCTTAAAGCAATCTCCTTTGTTGCCGTCAGGAGCTCCAACTTGGTTCCGTATCCTCACACAGGAACCTGTTTTTGCCATAATCCTTTCAAGCCTGGATCCTAAACCCTAAACATCCCTAAACCCATCAAGAATGAACCCAAAGTCTGAACCTTAAACCGCGAACCCTGCGCCCTGAAGCCCTTAATTGCCCGGGGTTGGAAGACCTCCGTTCTCAAGAGCAGGAAGGATGGCTTTCGCACAGTAGGCGGCGCCTCTCTTGCAGGGCTTAGCCGGCTGGACGGGTAGAGTCCCTAAACCCCTAAACCCTATACCCAAACCCTAAACCCCTAAGTGCTACCCGCTCTCTTCGGGCGGGGGGGTGGCTTAGAAACGGTATGTTTCACAGTTCGGGGCTCAGGATTGGAGTGGCTTCGAGCCTTTTGAAAGCCTTCTCTGGTGAAAGGTTGGAAAGGACGGGGGTGTGGAACTTCCTTCAGCGACTCTTCCTCGAGGGCTTGGCAATTTCTCGTTTTTTCGAGCCGGTCGATGAGTTTCTAAGGATGCTTTAGCATGATAGCATCGACCCTATGGGATCTCTCCGGATTCCATTGGCCAGGTTTGGCCATGAACTTCGAACTAACCCTAAACCCCAAAGGAGGACGTGTCGCAAGAGCTCCAGTCCTTGTGAAGGGATGCCCCAAGCTGGCCGAAGCTGAATCCCGTAGTTCGAGAGTCCTAATGGAAGTGCGAGCTGGAGAATGCCGTTCATTCGGGAAGTGCAGCCCGACCACAAATCCCAACAACAGAGCTAAACGACCCTGTTTGCTGAGTGCCCCCACCCTAAAACTCCGAAGCCCAAAAGTCCCCCCCGAACTCCCCAACCTCTGCGTCAGATCGGGTCCAACGCGCATTCCGGGGAGGCGAGCCATACACCGCCTCTTCTGGAGGGCGGTATTGCTATGATCCCCCGTTACGTTGGAGCTGGCCATAGTCTCTCTGTACCCATGGGCGCCTAAGTAGTTCCTTTTTGGGATTACCTTATAGGATTCTAAATATAATCCCCAAAAGGAATTACTTGGGGGCCTATGGGTAGTGATGTAGGGCCTAGAAGTCAGGTGTTCAGACTCATTCGCTGAAAGCTGTGGGGCCGTAAGCCGTGTGCAGTAATCTGACTGGTTCTTAGTAGGGAATGGAGGAATGAGTTTTTGGGACTATTATCGGGGACCTTAAGGGACTATCATAGGGATCCAATCCACCATTCCCTACTAAGAACCAGGGAGTAATAAGAGACCAACTTACCTTGCATTGGAGACCTTGGTACGGACGAGTCGTGGGTTTTTCTCAGTGTTGGCGCCTTCTGAAAGGAGACTCCCAGATCCGAAGGAGCCGGGGAGAATCTTGCACCCTCTACCTTAATTAACTTCTATATAATAAAACCTTCCTTTTTAGGGTTCCCTATTATGATTTCTTTATATATAAGTCCTTAAAAAGGTAAGTTCTTTGGGGTCCAGGTACACCACGTGAAAAGTAAAACACAAAAACATATCCGCTCAAATCGACCCATATCCCGCGACGCTGTTGAATGATGATGACTGGTTTTCTCATGATTAGATATAAAGCCCCACAACTAGCCGAACCGAGAACCAGAAAATCAACCCAGCACCATTCCAAAAATCCTTGACCAGGGTCAAGGCGAGCCTTTTTCAGAAATGCCCAGAAACCCCAGGCGTAGCAAGCCTATGCAATGCACCTGTATTGCCTCTTAGAGCAACACGTGGTGCTAATCCAACGGCCTAAGTCAAGAATATGCCAATGTCCTTAAATCGGATATGGGCAGTTCTCTAAACTCGGGTCCTTTTTTAGGTCCCCAATATAGTACGGCACCCTTATAAAAAAGGACCCTAAAAGGGACTCCAATTTGGAGAACTGCCCATATACCCAAAGTCTCCCAGCCCCAAACCCGAAACTCTTGCACTTCGACCTGCAAACCTTCAACCCGAAAGCCTGTAACCCTGACGCCGTCATCCGGGAAGCCTCTGAGGTTGCTGGGTCGCTGAGCAACAGCCGCCAACGCTTCTTTCGAGCGAGGTCCTGCGACGTGGAGTTTACGACGAAATATGCGCCAAACCATCAAACCTTCCCAATCAAAGTGTATTGGGCTCGCTTGTTAACCGCGAACTGCCGCGAACCAAAAACTCTGAATCTCTATCTATCTATCTATCTATCTATCTATATACCTACATACATACACACATACCTACATACATACATACATACATACATACATACATACATACATACATACATACGCCTTAAAGCCATAAAGCCTCAACCCGGAGGATGACAGGGACCTTCGCCTCAATCTCGGCGAAAGCCACGGGACTGTCGAGCACCAGGCGGGTGGCAGGTGCACCCGTCCGGTCTATCACCTTCGCTACTTGGAGGTTCATGGCTAGTTATAAGTGGAGTTATAAGTCCCCTACTGGCTATAGCTATAGTTATCCTACTTATAACCCTACTTATAACTACCCATGAACCTCCAAGTTTTTTTTTCTCAATGGCTTGGGGCTTGTGGGTACGCTGTTCAGAATTCCTTTGCTATAAGAAGCGGGGATCTTACTACCGATGTTCACCCATCTTCTGAAACTCCCCTTGGTCTTCGTTGTAATTACTATGAACCCTACGTGGCCCTACGTTAGAAGAAAGGATACCCCATGATTTCAACCCAAAATCTATAAGCCCTCGGCACAGTGCCCTGCTGAACCTTCAGGAGCTTGGAGACCAAGCCTTAAACGACTGTAAGCAACGTTTCTGCAGGCGATTTGATACGAAGCCGGAGACGAGTATCAAATTTGCAAGGAAGCACCATGAACGCATGCTGTTGCGATGTAATGCCAACTCGATGTGAATTTTTGCAAGGAGCAACCATATCAAGATAATGTAATGATTCAATCCCGAACCAATACAACCATCGAATGAAGGACTCGGTACTGGTAGATGAAGGGAAACCCCAGCCCTAAACGCCTGGTTCGGCATTAACGAGTAATTTGAGAACATCCGAAGGCCGAAATCCCTAGAACAAAGTCTGGCCCCTTAACCGCTTGAAAAGCATTTCCGCCCGACATCGTAACCATCATAAACACAATCCCGAAACCACACAAGCCTCAAAAGCCGGAATGAGCCAAAGCCGACGTATTTGAACCCCGAAGCCACAGCCCAAATCAAAGGAACGACGCGACCGCCCATAAATTCGACGGATGAGTACAGCTTCAAAGCCGAAAATAACTTCAAACCCCCAAGATAAGCTAGTTTCGACAAGGCCGAAGCCGCACACCACGAAGTTCCTTCAATCTGCCAGGTTCTAACCCTTAGCCTTAGCCTTTACCCTCGTCACCAAATCCTCGACCCTGATCATTTCACCTCTAACACCGAAGTCGGTGCAGGCCTCAAACCTCAGACGACGGCCTTCAGTAACATCCACCTGCCGCGTCGAGATGTTTTGGCGTGTTGTTTATGACGTTTCAGGAGGTATTTCCGGGTGTCGCGAGCCTGGCCAACCTACTCCATCGATTTGTGGTTTGCATTTGGCTCATCGGTTCAACCGCAAACGCAACTTCTGCCAAGTAACCATCAGCCCCTGAAGTCACAACACCTGAACCCCCAAAGTTCTCTGCACTGCTTCTTGCAGCTTATAAACTATAATGGACCAGGGTTTTTGTGGAGACGGAACACCTACTTGCGGAACAGGAACAGCAACCATGAGAGCAACATCCTCTCCGTGGCTCCCTTGTCTCGGAAAATCCTGTCGCGACGCATTTTTTGCCCAATCAACTCTTGGGTAAGTCTGTTCTGGCACGCCGTGGTGCAGGCCATTGCAAAATCCGGAAGCGTGTGTTCCAAGGTCAGAATGCAAATTTATAATGACAGGGAACGGGCCCAGCCCCCCTAATAGTTGCCTTTGGAAACTTCCGGCCGCTCTCCGCTGTTGACGCATGGACCATGACAGTGAGATGGACTCGACAATTTCAACCCTCCGAAATTTGACTGTAGTAGCTACCCCAAAGGTCTACCTAGGTCTACATGCGCATTTAACTGCATAATCTATCTTCATGTATATGAACATCATTAGAGTCACAGCAGAGCAATGGTAGCTCAACCGACAGACTCAATAAAGCCAGACAGGGCGGTGTGCAGCGGGGAAGTGGCAGTGCTGAGGCGCTGGGACCACTCCCGCTGGGCGGAGAGCTGCACATAGCGCTTCCAGTTGTTCACGAGCTGGGGGCTGGCTGCAGGAAGCTTCTCGATGAGAAGCCGACGAGAGTATCCGCTACCGAATTTGTAGCGGGATCCGCCGATCTTCTCGATCGTCGACTTGCCAGCAGAAGTTCCTGAGTTGGATCCGTGCCTTCCTGTCCACCAGTCTCTCAACTCGCCCCCCGGACCTTCTGTCACCAAAAAGCTCGCGTGCCAACCGTATGGAGCCACCACCCACTTGAGAATGTTCTCGAAGCCTTCCTGGGAGGAAGCTACGACCCGCCATCCGCGAGGAACATCAAGCACCAAATGCTTCATATCATCTCCAGCAGCTTGGCTGTGCGGATGTGCCGGCGGCCACACCGAGTATTCGCTACGGTCATATTGAATGCAGTTCTGGCTGGGCAGTGGCATTGCTTCCCCGCTCACCTCCATGGACTCTTCGTGCTTTCCATAGATGACATCGATTTTGTCACCGTACCGGGCTGTGTGGTATGCTGTGTAAGTGGTTGTGATCCTCTTGTTTGTATGTGTTTGTTCGATGAAATGGGCACCTTTGCCCTCATCGCGGATGGCAGCATTGATCAATGGTGCCGTGTCACTGTCCTTGAGTTCGAGCTCCAGCTGCAGACCCTTGACCGCCTTGTCGTTCCGGTGCTGAACCTGATAGCCTTTGTGTTCGACGAAGCGGCGTCCGCATGATTCACTTGAAACGATTTTACCACCGTGCTGCTCCACTTTTTTCTGTGCCTTAGTGTGAGATAGCTCGTGCTAAGGCCTTTGGGCTGAAGCCCATCATTCAAAGTTCTCGGGTTATAGAATCTTGCACATCTTTACAAGCAGCAGTACTGACAGAGCACTTGATCCTAGACCTACCAATAAAGGTATCCAGTTCAGGTAGGGCACGTCCTGTACGGCTTGATCAGTGGCAGCTCCCTGCCCTGTGAGCCAGGATTTAGCGCTGTTGAACTTGCCTTGGAGCTGCTCCCAGGCGCTTGCCTGTCGCCACTCAACCTGACAATCAAAGGGAAGATACGCATACATCGCAATCGATCGGTCAGGAGCCCTATCATCACTCTGTCGGCCTTGAGGCACGGGTCGGGATGTTGACAGTGGTCCGAGAGGAAATCTTCGATGCCAAGCTTCGTCGCATCAAGCTGCAGGTCTTCTCCATCTTGCTTATAAGAGATATGGAAGTCTGCAATGCTCATGCCTGCCTTCACGAACACTTCATGCAGGTACTCTCTGTGCGGCTTCCACACGAAAACCTTTTGTGCACCGTCCTGGTCTACCTCTTGAAAAACGATTTTGACCTTCTTCCCGGGGGGAAATGTCCCCGGCTGAAAACCCGCCATCGACTGGATCTTGCACAATGCCAGCGGACCGTACCTCAGCTCTGTGGGCTAGAGAAACGACCCGTGCAGCAGAAAATTAAAGGTAACTTGCAGCATGGCACCTCAAAGCAGAAATGGCAGCAGGAAGAGACTTGAGGAGCACGTTCACGTCTAGGCCGTCTGATGAGCAGAAGTGAGGCGAATGCCCCTGCACAAAGGCTGTGCCCGAAGTTACGAACCTCAGACAAAAGACGGGAATTGATCCGTACCCAGCCAGCTGGAACACCCGGTGCATCTTACAGCGTCGGATGCGCCCGACAGTCAGCACTAGAATGTCGGCCGAGGTCTGGAGCCAAATGCTGCGGGATGCGCCATTGTCTTTGGGTAGGATGCGGCTAGGTTTAAATGCATGCAAGCAGATATTATGTGCGTCGCGCATGTCCCACAACCAGATGTACTGTATACAGACAAGTACTGTAGCATGCATCAAGCCTGAGCAAAAATCCATCAGCAGTCCGCCTCCAGCGCCTCTGTGGGAGCAAAGGCTACAGAGCCTTTATCATCCTCGACACTTTGCGCTAAGTGTGGGCTTCAGCGCTGCTTGTGTACAAATGCTGAAGCTCAGGTTGTCCAGGGCCGTGGGGTCTGAAGCTGTGTGATCGCTTTCACCATGGCAGCGATTGTCATAGAAGAGGTAATTAGTTAGTAGTAGTAACAGTAACGCTGCAGCAAACAAAACAAGGCGGAAGAAGAATTAGCTGTCGCCGTTCGCGTCGTCCTCGTCGTCGTCGTCGACAGTACCACTTATGTTGGCAGCAACGCTGGTCGAGTTTGAATACTCGTACTTGGCAGCAGCGGGTCCTGGACGCCCTCTCGGATGATGGTGTCCGGCCTTCGCAGCATTCTGCTGAGCGTTCCATGGAGCATGGTTTCGAAAGGCTTCACTGACATGTTGGATTCGGAAAGAACTTTGTAAGTACCCAGACGGTGTCAGTTGACTAGAACACAGACTTACAGCATGGACCCTGAGTGACATTCAAGGCTGGACTCAGCACATCCTCATTTGTTTTGCACTCCTGAGCTTCAGCTGTTGAGGTTGAAATCACAGCCAGCAAGGGCCTTTCGAGGTGCTTGTTTGCACCACGACTCATCATGCTCAAACCGCTGGCCGTACTGCTCATGTTCTTCCTTGCATTGGTGTTGCCATCATTAATGCGACTATCAATCGAAGGTTGCCCTGGTCGTGACCAGCCACAGGGCTGCGAAGCAGAAGGCTCCCTCCTTTCTTCAAGTCCAAGCAGCTCTTCAGCTCACACTGCAGTACGACTGCGGCAGTGACCATTACAAGGCCTATGGCCATGTACACAGCAGACAAGTGTCATAGAACAAGAGCTAAGGGCAGAACATCAACTTAAACAAGCAACCACACATTACATTACATTACATTACATTACATTACATTACATTACATTACATTACACTACATTACATTACATTACAGTACAGTACAGTACAGTACAGTACAGTACAGTACCTTACATTACTCTACCTTACCTTACCTTACCTTACCTTACCTACCTTACATTACCTTACCTTCGTTGCATTACATTACATTACGTTACAGTACATTACATTACGTTACAGTACATTACATTATATTACTCTACCTTAGCTTACCTTACCTTACCTTACCCTACGTTACATTACACTACAGCACAGTACAGTACATCACATCACGTCACGTCACAGCACATTACATTACAATACATACATTAACATTACATTACGCTACAATACGTTACATTACGTTACATTACGTTACGTTACATTACACTACATTAGATTACATTACATTAACATACATAAATTGCATACATTGCATAATACATACATACGTACATACATACATACATACATACATACATACATACATACATGCATTCATGCATGCATACATGACTGTGTATATATATATACACACAGATACATGTCTGTATACATACATAAATACAAGCGCATATAGTGGAAGACTGTACGTATAGCTTCTGAAAGAGTACACCCAGGCCCCAAACCCTGGAAGAAATACACATCTTGGGGCCAGGAGCCTGCCGTCACCTGGCAGAAGCTTCACGCGGATCCATACCTGCCTGCGGGAGGACAGTGGAACAAGCAATTAGGGAGTCGGAGTTGCGGCTGTCCGGCGTGCGGGTACAAGCCTGCATTGCTCTAGGGTGTTTTTACCAGGCAACTGCGACCGAAGCAGTAATGTAGGGGCCTTAATAATTAGAATAGGGTTTTGGGGGCTCCTTACTATAATCATAGTATATAATATACCCCCAAACCCTATTCCAGTTATAAAGGCCCCTAAAATAGTGTTGAAAGGCCGTGGCCACATCTGCTCCACAGGCCTCGCGCTGCATCTACACAGGCCAAAAGCGACTTCGAATGGCCTGGGCTGGTATCTCCTGCAGCAGAGCTGATGCCACCTGAAAAGCTCCAGGGGGGAAGCGAAGGGACCTGGGCTTAGGGTTTAGGGCCGTTCAGGTTTTCGGATGTTCGAGAAAAAGTGTCTGAGGAAACACCCAATCACCTGAAATCTTGTGAAGACTTTTCTCGATATCATTCTGCAATCGGTCCTCGACTGAAAACACAAACGACTGTTTTGACCAGAGTCACCGACAATACTACCGCACGATAGCTGCAACAGCAACAACAACAACGACGACAACCGAATCGGCGAATCGGCTTCTTACTGCTACCTGTACAAATTAAATCCTGGTGTCATTGACAATCATACACACGGGTAGTGCTGCTCTTGATCTTGGAAAGGGCACGCTTCTCTCATAATGGAAACCCCGAAACAAAGGGCGCTGAGCTACAGAACTACCCAAATCTTCGTTTCAGAAAGTCGGCAGCATGACATAGATGTAAAATGTAAACGCCAAATAACGGGATCCTTAGTAGGGATCCCAAGTCGAACAAGAGAGAAGTGCTCAAAGGAAAATGGGGGCAAGGCCTCGGTGCGTGCCGAAGCGGCAGATCGACCTTAGCATCTTCAGGGCTCAAGCTGCAGCAACGAAGGCTTAGGATCAAAATGACGAGATGACCATGACTTGACAATGACAGTACTTGTAGCAACAGCGACAGCAGCGACCCAAAACAAGAAAAGGATAATACGGCTTTAGGGTTCATGACGTGCAAGGCGCTGCCTCGAAGCTCTTAGCCCCCTTAAACCCAAGAGGGCCAAAGCACAACAACCCTACCACCGAGCTCGAAGGCTGTAACTTTCCTGCCATTTTTACGGTATGGAAGATTTTCGAGCATCGGACAGGCCAGGGAACAGGAAATCAAGAGGTGTCAGAGTCAGAGGAGATGCGCCTGTAAGCTTCAAGCTAACCTGCGGCGCAGGAAACAAGTTCAAGGGGTCTGCTAGACTATGTTATTGACATCAGTACAAAACTCAAAGATTCATGGATCAGCCAACTATAGGGACAACTACACCTAAACGCTAAACCCTAAACCCTAAACCCTCTAAACCCTAAACCCACAACTACATGTGTCGAAATGTGTAAGTGCCCCGGCAATGGCCACCGAACCAGCAGGGGCCTGAGCCATCGGCCCTTTTAGGCTTCTTGTGCCTCCAAAATCTTACGGGGGTTAAGGCTTTAGGCTTTCGGGTTTAGGGTTTAGGGTTTAGGCTTTAGGGGTTTAGGGTTTTAGGGTCTTGGGGTTTAGGGTTTAAGGTTTTGGCTTTAGCTAGGGGTTTAGGGTTTTAGGGTTTAGGGGCTTAGGCTTTAGGGCTTTAGGGCTTTAGGGTTTCAGGGTTTAGGCTTTAGGGGTTTAGGGGTTTAGGGTTTCGGGATTTAGGGTTTTGGGTTTAGGGATTACATTACTAAATTACAGGTTTCGGTCACAAGGGCTGACAGTAAGGATCGGGCTCATCGGTAAACAACTTTAGGTTTTTGGCTTTAGGCTTGGCAACTCAAGCGCATTGCAGCTTGGGGGGGGGCTCTCAAACGATTTGGGAATTAGGAATGAGTTTCGCCTCGGGCTGTAGGATCCATCCAAGCCCTGTAAGAACAGCCAGTGGGGTTACGCCACAGGGCAGGTCAGGGAGCGTTTAGCGTCTAGGGCAGTCTAGGGCTGGGGTTGACGGGGCAAGGGCCTTTGTTTAGGGTTGACGGCTTAGAATGGGAAGGACTGTGTAAGCCACCCACGCGAGATGCTGATTGACATCGTAACTCGGAGTTTCGGTGTGCAGACTTCGCGGGACCGAGGATGAAGCCGCCAAGTGCGGCGTCCTGTCGAAAACGGAGCACTGAGACGGCGACCCCTGGCTGGCAGCCGTCGGCCCAGACCCGAAGAGTGGTCATTGATGCAAGGAGCCATCCGTTCCGAAAAAAGTGAACGCTTTTGAACGCACTTCTCGGAAATGGAGGGCTGTGGATTAGGGTCAGTGTGGGCTTGGATGGAGGCTTCGCGCAGAGTCGCAAGGCTCTTGTTGCGAGTATATGCTCAGAGCATTTGGTGGGTCGACACTCAAAGTTGCAGGTCGGGGCTTTCATCTGGTTTAGAGGTCAGTGTATAGTGGTTGGTGGCTTGTGACATGAGGACATCGCTCGAGCCACAAGGCATGGCTTTGGCAGAAATGGGTCGGCTGCAAACCAGAAGAGGAATGTAATCCAAGGATCTGTCATAACTGAAACAGCTGTCGAAATCATCGTGCATTTCAAACGTGTGTGGTGATCGGGCTCGAGACACGTTTTTTTTCCTTGAGTGACGGGTACTCCGTCCGGGCAGATGGACGAAGCCCTGCTTTGCCGTGCCTAGTCACTTTCATGCATCTCCCTGCCCAAAAGCATGCCCCTAACTTCTCACAACAAAGGAAATGTGTTCTGACCCGACTTCCGTTAGCAGCTGTAAGTGGGATTTACGATAGTTAGGAATCGGAGTGGAGAGCCTGACGGCCACACTCCATTTCGGCGGCGGCAGGGTTTCCGATTTCCATCATTGACGGATTGCACCTCATTCCAGCGCCGTCGTATGGCGGCACCAGCCTCGTCAGCTCAACATTTCTGGAACGTGGCTGCTTGCAGTGGTAGGGTGTAGGGTTTAGGGTTTATAGGGATAATTACCGAGCTCGAAAGTCCGGAACTTGAATTGTTGAATGTATGCTCGTACACGTAAATGTCTGTTTTGTTCCTCTTGCTTTTGCTTTCTGCTGCAAGCAGGCACTCATCCAGGGGTCGACGTGCCTTCGTGGCATATCCTTCGGCCTGATACGCTTATCCTGGTTCCTGGTTTTTATAACGAACTCTTTCTGCTTGGAGGTTCATGGGTAGTTATAAGTGGAGTTATACGTCCCCTAAAATAGGTTATAACTATAGTTTTCCTGCTTATAACCCTACTTATAACTACCCATGAACCTCCAAGTAGTGCTGGTAAAACGTGTTATGCATTTTGTTATCGGCATGCAGGCCCAGGCAAGCTGAGGAGCTGGCAGAGGAAGTGCTTGCAACAGCTCTCTTCAACGGCAACGCCAGGCGGCTCCTTGTGCCGGGAAT